TGATGATGTATAGTCTTCCTCACTGCAGAATGATGGACTTTAAATTGTTTGGAAATGACCTTTTAACTCTTCTCAGATTGATGGGCAGCAACAATTTCTTCTCTACAATAACTGCTGATGTGTTTCCTCCTTGGCATTGTGTTAACACACACTTGAATGCTCCAGACCAACAAATTGGTAAAACTTTGACTATTCTAGAGGTGATTACACTTGTCAGTGGTCAATTACTCAAGGGCATTTGGTTTGCAGCACCTGGCTGCTACTAAGCCTCTTAACTCTGATGGAAGTAGTAAGGATGTACTTGTTTTTTTTACACATGGTTTTCCTTGTTGGTTTAATTTTTGTTAAATAAATCATGACACATTGTAATATATTATGTGCTGTTCTTCATCTGAGGTTGTATTTACCTAATTTTCAGACCTGCTAAGGACCAGATTAGTTTTAATATGTCCTGAAACATAAAATCATAGAATTTAAAGAGGGAAAGACGGTGTACTTTCTTTTTCACATGACTGTATGTATGTACAGTGGTGCCTCTACTTACAAATGCCCCTACCTACGAACAGTTCGATTTACGAGCAGTAAATCTTAGTTTGAAGCTCTACTCGCAAAATTGTGCTTCGACTTGAGAACAGAGCTTTGAAATAAGAACAGAAAAAGGCAGGGGGAAAGGAGGGAAATTCAAACCGTTGGTGGCGAAAGGACTGCTTCTTTGTAGCTCTTTCACCTAACGGTTAGAGCAGGGAACTTTTTTACTCCTGCGGCACAGGAGGAGGAAGGGGAGGCGGGGGCAGCTCCGGATCACCGCTGGGCGCAGGAAGCTGGTGTGCTCCCTGCCCAACCCTGGTGCGGGTCTACTAATGAGTAAGGGCTCCCTCCGCCATGCCCCACCGCCGCCTTGGGTGCTCTACACTGCCGGCCGGGGCCTGTCGTCAGCCACCAGCCTCCAGGGAGTGAGTGCCATCGGAGGCGGCTTCGGTCTGCCTTGTCAGGTGCTGCTTTTTGCTTTTTAAAAACTTCTGGGTGGGAATTGCAGGGTGGGGTTGGGTTGAGGGGGGTTATGTTTCTGTGCTGTGTTGTTGTTTGTTTTTGGTGGGGTTTTTTTTGCAGTTCCAGTGTGGGGATTGCTCAATGTTTATTTTTGAGTTTTGTTTTGTTTTCTTTTTTTGCAGCCTTCAGGGCTTGCTGTGTTTATTTTTGGTTGTTTTTTAAAAAGCCCCAGCACCTTCCAATGGGGCTTTCTGTGTGCTTTTTTTTGTATTTTTTTAAAATGGTGGAATGGATTAATCCCATTCCCATGCATTTCAATGGGAAATGGTGCTTCGACTTACGAGCATTTCCACTAACGAATATCTTCTGGAACGGATTAAATTTGTGAGTTAAGGCACCACTGTATATGTACGTACATATGTACGTACGTATGTATGTATTGAATGATTTATCAGTGATCCTATTTATTTATTCCTGATGATGTATTAATAGTGATTCTGACAAAGAAATATATGAAATTTAGAGGTAAATAATGAAATGCTAGAAAAAGCTTTGAAATTCCCAGCCACTGAAGATTTCAAAATCCCCACTACTGTCAATATTGCATCCTGCAAACGGAATTACAAAACAAGTGGAAGGTGCTATTTTGGCTCAATGCTACGGAGATACCAAATTGGCACTTATAAGTAATCCCTTTGCTTTTGGTCAGGCAGCTCTCTCTGCTTGAAGTCTAACATACCTTATCAACGCTTTGCTTGAAGCAGTCGGAGGTGGTCATTTTCACCATATTAAAAAATACCTCCCTGTCTGCTGCATCTATTAAACGATCGTAGAAGACACGGTAAACTTCATGAATCCAAAGCCTGATTAGTTTCTCTCCATCCTGCCAAAGAAAAAGGAACCAAAGAATTTTGAAATGTGGAAATTAATATTTTATTCACAGGAAAAATATTCTTATACACCTTTGCTTTCCCCAATGTTGTCTTCCATGGGGAAGGAGTCTTTTGTTCTTAGTGTCTCTACTAAAATTCCTACTGGTGGTGTTCTTGTTCTTAACTCTTTATTGGTACTATGTGACAGGTTTATGGTGTTCTTGTTCTTAACTCTTTATTGGTAAGATTGAAGGTACTATGTGACAGGTTTCCTTACCAGCCTGCAATCACCTCAGTTCCTCAGTCTTCCTGATCTGAAAAAATTACCTCACATGGTCTTCCCTTTAACTGATGCATAGGAAGCCGGAGAAGCTGCAGACTTCCTGAAAGATGGCTATGCACTGAAAGACACTGTACTTATAGTTGCTCCTCAACTATTCCAAATGTTAAGTGTTAAGTGAAAGAATTCACATCCAACCTATTTGTAAGAACTCACATTCCATCTATTAGAATTTCATTACATTTTCTTCTAGGAACATTCTTTAGACTTCTTTTCTAACAAATTGCAAGATACAAATGGTAAAAATGCAGAAGAAATACTCAGTACAATAGTAACCGGAAGCCAACTAACCGCAAGAGAAAACAAAAGGGTTTTAAAATGGACCAACTCCAGCCTTTGCTAAAGCAAAGGTCTGATCACTATACTAATGCTAAGTCTCAGAATGATTATTCCCCTATATGCACCCCTTTTGGAACTGACAGTTTCAGTATTTTTTCCTGCCATCCAGATGACACAAATTTTATTTACCAGCCTGCAATCACCTCAGTTCCTCAGTCTTCCTGATCTGAAAAAATTACCTCACATGGTCTTCCCTTTAACTGATGCATAGGAAGCCGGAGAAGCTGCAGACTTCCTGAAAGATGGCTATGCACTGAAAGACACTGTACTTATAGTTGCTCCTCAACTATTCCAAATGTTAAGTGTTAAGTGAAAGAATTCACATCCAACCTATTTGTAAGAACTCACATTCCATCTATTAGAATTTCATTACATTTTCTTCTAGGAACATTCTTTAGACTTCTTTTCTAACAAATTGCAAGATACAAATGGTAAAAATGCAGAAGAAATACTCAGTACAATAGTAACCGGAAGCCAACTAACCTCAAGAGAAAACGAAAGGGTTTTTAAATGGACCAAGTCCAACCTTTGCTAAAGCAAAGGTCTGATCACTATACTAATGCTAAGTCTCAGAATGATTATCCCTCTATATGCACCCCTTTTGGAACTGACAGTTTCAGTATTTTTTCCCACCATCCAGATGACACAAATCTCAAACTAATACCAACAGTGACAAGAGAGAGAGAATTCCTAGTTTTCCAGCTCTTTTTAAACTCCCTCCAGATGATGTTTTTGTTTGCTTCACTTTAAACCAGGTTGGGGTTCAGACATCCAAGGGTTCTTTCAGTGGAAGCTTGCAGTGTTAGCGCTGATCCACTAACAAGAAAATGAAAATGAAAATCCAGCACAGAAAATCATTTTTAAAAGAGAAAATCATTTTTAAAAGAGTTTGCTTGATACCTCCAAACAACTGGTGTGAAATACAGCTAACCCCCAAAGGAGATTGGGAAGAGAGTTAAACTCCATTGAAAACGACTCAGATTAGAAGTTTTGGGGATTAGCAGTGTAAAAGACAAAACAAAATCAAACACAGAGAATCCTTTATAAAGAATTTCTTCAAGCTGTTTAAAGTATATTTGAACCATCCCTTTAAAAGTTGTTGATTTCTTAAGAGAATAGAGGTTTTACGAATGAGTGTGGACAGAAATCCTGGTAAGATCCATGCCCGTTTGGTATGAAGAGGCATCGAAGGGCACAAAGGAAGAAGGAGCAAATGTTTTGTCTGGATGAACCTTCATGTATAAATTAGAGTCACTTTCAGAACAGATATTATAGGGAGAGTTATGCCAGTGTATGCATCAATACTAGACATGGAAAAACAAATTCTTTGGACTACAACTCCCAGAACACACCAGCCAGGATAGCCAGTGGTTGTGCTGGGGAGGGCATTCAGAGAGTTGCAGTCCAAAACCTCCTGTATCTCAGCAACACTGTGGTGTATTGTGAGGTACAGCTGTGTGCAACATTGCCCACATTCTTGTTTATTCTAGGAAGCAACTGTATGCATAGTAGCTGAGATAGTGGGCTACACCTCAGAACATCTCCAATATGAATCTAAGTTCTGTCACAACATTGCATGGAGATCTTAGGAAGGCACATCCTTCCAGTCTCAGCACCAACACCCCTTGTGTATGCCATAAGACTAGTCTGTCTTGCGCAGCTGTTGTGGTTACTCCAATATTGCCTATGCAAGTGAAGTCCCAGCAGAAAAACCAAGAAGCAGCATACATCACAAATATTATAGTCGTGGCCACGGCACCCCTGCCATCGTAAAGAAAAAGGGTACGTTGTGCACCTGCAAATGAGTATGTGGACACAGCAACACGCCTCGAACTACTCGTGAGAAATCACGCAAGTTGAAGACATAGTGAGATTTGGAAGGAGTTGGAAGGAAATTTTCCACAGCTAGTTTGTAGATATTCATAGTAGCATGGACCAGCATTTTGCCAAGCCTTTGAAAAGAAACACATGTTACATTCAATCCTGAGTCCCTAAATCTGCCTTTTCTCGTTTCTCCCACTTCAATTGCCATGTTGGACACCCCCAGGGCCTTTTCCACTCTGCCTCCAAGTTATGTACAGTACTTGGAAATTCCTCCCAGAAACCTTCACTAGGCTATCATACCTTCACCGTTTCTTTACAAATCCTAGCTCTGATTCAGTTTTCTGTCAATAATATTTTAATGCTTTAAGACCCCCACTCTTCCACCAGTAGGGGCCACATAGCCTCCACATTTTATCAATGGCATCCCAACTGTGGCCCAAATGTTTCCTGTTGGTACAGTGGTGCCTCGCTGGACAGTTACCCCGCATGACAGTTTCTTCCCTAGATATTGACTTTTTGCGATCGCTATAGCGATTCACAAAACAGTGATTCCTATAGGGGAATTTCATGGGACAATGTTTGGTCCCTGCTTCGCAAACCAATTTTCGCTAGACAATGATTTTGACAGCTCCCTCCGTGCTCACAAAACAGGTGTTTTCAGGACTTAAGCTTCGCAAGACAGTGATTTAAACAGCTGATCAGCTGTTTGCAAAGCGGTTTCCTATGGCTGATCTTCGCTAAATAACGACGATTCTTCCCCATTGGAAAGCATTAAACAAGTTTCAATGCATTCCAATGGGGAAATGCTTTTCGCTAGACAATGATTTCGCTAAACAGCTATTTCAGTGGAACGGATTATCATCGTCTAGTGAGCCACCACTGTACTTGCAAACTCTGGTTGCATTCCTTTTCTTCGCTCTTTCCTGTGTGTCCCTCTTTACCAGAAATCCCACTCCAACTGGGAAGGAGTGTAGGGTGCAGGGAAGTCTCCTCCAGTGGGCAAGGCCTGGGGGAAGTGCCTTCCCTTATCATCCACAGAGTGCATGGGCAAGCTCACAGGGCCAAAACTGCAGCAGTTCCCCTTCCCCTAGGGGGAACTAGTAGTTACATTCCCATAGAAGGCTGTCCTCTGTAAAGTAGGGCGCATGTCTACGTCAGCTAGAAATTGGTTGGAGAAAGTGTGCTTTCTGTAAGAAAGGAAGGGGGTGGCACATCTCTTTATGACCCTGCTCGAGTGTTTAGATACCAGAGGCCTTTCCCCTCATCTTGCCACCTTCACATGTGCATTTGGTGAGGACTTCCTCTGTTGCTGCTCCCAAAAATCCCTACCGCAGGTGGTTACGCTGGACCCATTTTTACTGTCCTTCTGGAAGCAGGTGAAGACCTTTCTCTTCAGGCAAGCTTTCCTTGAGGGTCTGGCTGCTGAGTGGGGTTTTAAATGGATGGTTGTACCTTACTGTTTTGAATATGTTTTGGTGTCCCCTCTGTTTTTTGAATGGTATTTGTTTGATCCTTTTTGTATTTGTATATTCACTGTTGTTAGCTTTAAATACTGTCTTGTCTCAAGGCTTCCATCATCATTCCACTGCCTAAAAAGTTGCCTACAAACATGTGCAGTTCCTGTCTGTCTCAAGGCTTCCATCATCGTTCCACTGCCTAAAAAGTTGCCTACAAACAATCCGAGTGACTATAGGCCAGTGGCACTAACTTCAATCTTAATGAAGTGCTTTGAGCAGTTAGTTTGGAAATATATTATCTCCTGCCTTCCTGATTCCTTTGATGGGCTTCAGTTTGCTTATAAAGAAAATAGATCAACTGAGGATGCTATCAATACTGTGCTTTATATGGCTTTATCCCACTTGGAAACACAAGGGAATTATGTAAGAATGCTGTCTGCGGACTTTAGCTCTGCTTTTAATACCATTATACCCCACAGATTAATAGTCAAACTGAAAGATCTAGATTTTCCAGATTCTATCTGTCGTGGATTTTGGATTTTTTAACAAATCGTCCACAAAGGGTTAAACTGAATGA